GACTCCACGGCACATAACATCATCAAAAACAACATTTGCATGAAATTACAATTAAAATCACTTTGGAAATTTTCTGTTTGTAAACATTCAAGCTTCTACTATGATGGATTGTATTAGGCAAATATGCTGCACAAGACCACTTTAATGTGTTCAAGACCAAAGATAAGTTTGAGAACTAAAGTGAGCCTGACCCAAGCCATGGTATTTTCAGTAGCCTCTTATGCATGTGAAAGTTGTACAATGAATAAGGAAGACAGTAAAAGAATTGATGCATATGAGTTATGGTGTTGGAGAAGAATATTGAAGGTACCACGGACTATCAGAAGAACAAACAGGTCTGTGTTGGAAGAAGTACAGCTGGAGTGCTCCTTGGAAGCCAGGATGGTGAGACTTGGTCTCTCATACTTTGGATATGCTATCAGAAGAGACCAGTGATTTGGTAAAGTGGAGAATCAGCAAAAAGGAAGATCCCCAATAAGATGGATTGGCACAGTGGCAGCAGCAATGGGCTCAAGCATAACAACAATGTGTGAGGGTGGCACAGGAGCTGGCAACATCTTGTTCTGTTGTGTACAGGGTTACTGTGAATCAGAACTCATTCAAGACACTTAACAACAACTACAGTTCAAATAATCCTATTTTAAATAGTTGTATTCTTTCCCTTTCCCCTATAAAGTTGTATGTCAGTACCCAGTACAAATGATATATAATGAAAATAGCCAGCCCCAACAACACCCATAAGCTCTCTGGAAACAAGAAGCTTTCAGAGCACTGACACACTACAGTGCATGGTGGATTTGTTGACCTCTTTGTTACATATTCCCTCTCTTGCCTCCCATACACTCACATGCAGATATTTGTTAGGATTGTACCACATCTTTAAGAGAACTAGTCACTGTAGTTGTTGTGCTAAGAAATAACAAATCTTCAGAAATTTATAAATATATACTAAAAGTAATATATATATACACACACACACACACACACACACACACACACACACACTGCTGTTGTTGTTAAGTGCTGTCAAGTCAGCTCTGACCAATAGCGACCCTGTATAGGTTTCCAAGGAGCAGCTTCAGAGCTTCAACTGCCGACCTTGCAGTTCAAACCAACTTTGCAGTCTAGTGCATTAACCTACAATGACACACCGGGACTCCATATATGTATATATATAATACTGTTAAGTGCTGTTGAGTCTGCCCCAACTCATAATGGCTCTGTATAGGATTTCCAAAGAGTGACTGTTAAGTTTGAACCACCAACCTTGCGGTTCAACTGAACTTTGTGGTCAAGTGCTTGAAATACAACTCCATGCCTGGACCACACACACACACACCGCACACGCACACAACCACACACACACACATTATATATATATATATAGTTGATTCTGACTCATAGCGACTTTGTGCACCAGAACAAAACATTGCTCAGTCCTGCACCATCTTCACAACTGTTAAGGTTGAGCCCATTGCTGCTGCTACTTTGCCAATCCATCTCATCTCTCATCTGGGATCTTCCTCTTTTTCTCTGACCCTCCGTTTTACTTAGCATGATGTCCTTCTCCAGGGACAGGTCCCTCTGCCTGACAATATGTCCAAAGTATGACAGACAATGTCTCACCATTCTGCCTTCCAATGAGCAGCTGGTTATGTTTCTTTCAACATAGATTTCTCTGGCAGTACATGGAACTTTCAGTATTCTTTCCCAACACTGTAACTGAAATGCATCAATTCTTCTATGGTCATCTATTCACTACCCAACTTTCACATGCATATGAGGCTATTGAAAATAACTCTGGCTTGGGTCAGGTGTACCTTAGTCCTCAAACTGACTTCTTCTTTGCTCTTGAACACTTTAAATAAAGAGTTCTTACGCAGCAGATTTGCCTAATGCAGTACATCATTTGATTTCTTGACTACCACTTCCATGCAAATGAAGTCTTTGACAACTTCAATCTTTTTTCCATTTAATATATTAATGGAATGTCCAGTGGTGAGGATTTTCGTTTTCTTTACATTTACATGTAACCTACATTGAAAGTTGTGGTCTTTGATGTTGTGGTCTTTGATGTTATCAGTAAGTATTTAAGTCCTCTTTGCTTTCAGCAAGCAAGGTTGTATCTGCATATGGCAGGATACTAATGAGTCTAACTCTAATCCTGATGCCACATTCTTCTTCATATAATCCATCTTCTTGGATTATTTGCTCAGCATGCAGATTGA